TCCTGGGGCATGCGAGAGAGCATTTCCGTCCATTTCACGTATTCCCACTCCGTTCAGCTGTTTAATGACGTAAAGTAACCCTAACGGCTTTTAAAAAAATAACTAATATCAACATTTTTACAATCCCAGTCGTTGTTTATTTTTGTATTTAGCTAAATGTTTGCAACTCTAAACAGTGGTACTGAGTGACAGTATGCGTTTCACAAAATTATAGGGCTAACGCTATAAACGCATAAGCCTAACACTGTATTTCACGATTTCCGACGTATCTACAGACTATGTGCTCAGTTGTAACAGTTTGTAGTTTCTTCGAACGACAGTTACAATAATTAAATATCACACAGTCTTACAGTGTTTTATGTAATAACTAAGCGACTTCTTTATTTCAGAAAAATCACATTTGGCTATCATACAAATCCTAAAAATATTTTTGCGATTTATAAATACAACCAACCACTCTTGTCCGATGTTTAGAAATTAGGCTACATATCTATTATAATAGCAATCATTAGATTTCTCAAATTTTCTAATGATTAAAATAATAAATCAAATTATGCTTGAGGCCTTTCTTTTGCATTTTTCGTAATTATATTTGTTGTGACTGTTGTTATTTCACTAGAATTAATAGGCATACATTAATGATGACCGATATGAGAAATTGCTAGGCCTAATGTGAGTAATGCAGGTATAAACTATAAAAGAACTAGGTTATTTGACTAGCGAGTGCACCCGTGTACTTTTAAACCTGAATCGGCTAATTGGAATGGTTTTAAAACAGATTTGAAATTCTACTGATAATGAATGAACATTTAAGAGCAATATAAAACAAAATATAGCACAGGGAAAAAATGGATTTTTTTTTGTCAAAGTTACTGCCAAAAATATATTGAAATAGTGTGCGATTGATATTTTACCCCCACCGAAGTGGCAAATTAAGTGCCATCAAAGTGCCCCAAGTCGCATATAACTTTCCAAAAAGTTTCTGGCGATGACATCTCGCAATCATTTTCGCCTGACGCTAGAAGCGGTAAATCTTCGTAACTAATGGGTGTTCGTATACGTGGCTAAATACTGTTCATTATAATAAATAGTGCTTTACATCATCGGTTAATTAATCGTGCTTCTATCTATACTTAACGTTTTTCTACGCGACCAATAACAAAATAGAAAAAAAAAAAAAAGGTATTGCGTACCCCCACAAGCAAGAAGTGTAACAACTTAATGTTATATTAACTCCGTTATTAAAAGGCGTAGCTTATTTATATAACGCAAACAAATGAAAAACATAACAGACAATCCCACTCAAGAACAGAGTTGTTGGTTAGCTTATTACACACGACTACTAATACCGTACCTTCAGTGACAACTGAGAGTCTTTCAGCCACGGGGCCATGCTTTGGTCGTACGGAGTGAAGACGAGCGTTTCTCGTCAACTCTACTACTGTTCACGTAAAGCCGTTTACCTGCACATAGTATACTTAATTATTAAGAGCTCTATCCTATCAGCTCGTTGCTAAGTAACACTATAAGAGAGACCACACCAATCGCATATAATCTAGCTGGATATCGCAAACAGGAAAATGTACGAGATCAAATTATACGGCGAAACCAGTACCATGACGAATTGATAAAATATGTAGAGCATTGTCAGCTTTTAGTAAGTTTGTTTAACGTCAAATAGCGAAATAGGCATTGACGCAGGTCTCATCGCGTGATTAAACCCCGAACTTTGGCGTTATAAGCCTTCAAACGTACCGTTATGCCACCGGGAGGCGGTAGTATCAGTTAAAATAGAACAATAATAATGTCAGTAAGTGAAACTATACAGCTTAACATATAAAGTCGGATCGGTATATCTTTTGGACAAGCACACCCTAATCAACTGGAAACTATAGTCATCGCCCCAGCCCAGAAATAATAACAACAATAATAATAATGTCAGTAAATGAAACTATACAGCTTAACATATAAAGTCGGATCGGTATATCTTTTGGACAAGCACACCCTAATCAACTGGAAACTATAGTCATCGCCCCAGCCCAGAAATAATAACAACAATAATAATAATGTCAGTAAATGAAACTATACAG